AGGCAACCCCACAACAGTCTTGAGTGGACAGACGTCCTCCAGGCCACTGGCTGCTTCTCATGGGCCAAGCAGCCTCCTCGGGACGCAGGTCTGGGGCCTCATGAGGACATCTGCGAAGTGGGTCTTCTCCATGACCCCCCCAAACCACGGGACAAGCCCAGCTCGNGCAGGTGGGGGGACAGGGCTGTCGGAACATGGGCTCATCACCATATAAGCCCATGTGGTGGTCCAGCTGCTGGGAGAAGCTATTTAAAACCGGAACAGATATGCAGGGGACAGAGGGGAGCAGGCGGGTAACAGAAGCCAGCTGTCNGAGAAATAACTTCCAGGAGAGGGCGATGGGTCTCCTGGGACAGGCAGCTGGCTGTGTGGGGACCGTTGCTCGCCCCCTAGGGCTTTTAAATAAAGCTGGGATCTTCTGGACCGACTAGACAGTGAGACCCGCAGGGCCGGGCCCAGGGTTTTCCGTCGTCTGCTGGCGGGTGTGTGTCGCGGCCCTAGTACAGCCCGGGACAGCTGAGGGCTCAGTGTGTGACCGAGACTGAGTGAGCAGAGGAAACTGAGTGGTGGCAGCCGAGCTGACAGTCCCCTGATCTCACTGAATCTTCGAGGCCCCGGTCCCAACTCTGAAGAAGGGGTGCCCCCGTCTGGACCAGGCTTCTCCTCCAGGTGCCCCCCAGCGCTGACCCCTCGCCCCTCCAGATCTTGCCCGTCAGTGACTCGCGCTCTTCTCTGTGGGCAAAGAAGGTCCTGCCCACTCTTCCCTTCACTGACCTGTGTCCAGCCTTCCCAGCCGAGCTGCCTGGGGGGGACACTGCACTGCAGCCGGATGTTGCTCCCCTCTCACCCTCTCCGCCCTCCAACTCTTGTCCCTTCACTCAGCTGAAATTCTCCCCTCCATGGTCCCCAGCAGCCTCAAAGCCCAACGGCCTGACTCCACCCCACCCCCAGGCTTATCCCCTGCCTCGTGGCCCCCCACCCGGACAGCAGATCGGGGCAGGACACGCTGAAGCCACAGGCCTGCCAGCCAGCACCCTGGGGGGCAGGCAGGGAGGGGCGGGGGCGGGGGG